TAGTAGACTATTCCGGACCATGTCGATTTTATTTAGATTATTTCAAATGCTAATTCTAAAAAAGCGTGCCTCCTTGAATTGTTGTTTTTCGTGCATAACAAGATTTGTCTAGATTAACAAAAAATGCAAAAGGCAAATATCATGCTGTTACAAGCGAATCACGAGTACGTTGAAACTAAATAACTGTAGAACTGGCTGGGCTGAAATAATAATTTTCCGATATGTGTTAGAGGTATTCGGTTTTATTTTTTTACACACATGTCCCAGTGTTTCGCCAGTTTTTGGATAGCCAGATACTCTTCTTATATGTAATTTCTCTCTCTATGGCTTCTTAAAGTAAATCCAAGGTGTAGTATGCTTTACTACCGGTTGCCTATTTTAGGGAACGGAAAACTGCGTGATCACACGGACTTGGATAGAAAGACCAAGCGGGTTGAACCTAACGTTTTATATTCCCTTGCTCAATCCGAAAAGTAATTGAAGAACAGCAATGAAGTCTGGCGTTGATCATCGAGAGGACGTGCTTTTGATTGCCGCGCCAATGGTCCATGAGTCTCTTTACAGAATTCACTGTTTCGCCTCCACTGAGTATTTCATAGTAGCACCTGCGCTTACTAACCACCTGACGTCCAAACCTATTCGACATGCCACAGAACTCGATTTTTCTCGGCTAAGAAGAGGGCGGGTTCGCCCTTGTGAACACCATCCTCTTTCTGGATAGGACTAAAAATTGAAATATGTCTCGTTTGTGGCGATTATATGCTCCAGACAAGTCTTTCGTTAATTAAAGTTTAACAAATTGCACATGAAATATCACGCGTATTTCCAACTAACCTAGAGTAAATGTACATATGACCCATCTTCTATTTCCACATATTCAGTATTATTATAATTCATTAACACGTTACATATGAAAAGCTGCTTTAAGCCAACAGAGACCCGTAAAAAGACTCTTGGATTGCGTCAATGTGTTCTTCCGGTGTGGACATTTGATCTCTTCGCTGGCCTTCAAGACTTTAATTTACGTTCTTAAAAGGCTTACAATAATCACGTGCCGTGCCTTAAAAGGTTTACAGTAATCACGTACTTTGGCATAAGTTTTCCTTGACTGACCTCGGTGGTGTTCACAAATCGTCGATGGATTTTCGCAGCGCTGTGGCATTCAAGAAATAAAAACCTTACCACTAAGCGTTGATTTTTTAAACTAAAATGTTTTTTTTTTCTGAAATAATTTCATGTGCCATAAACTGGACAAATCTGTAGAAAACTAGAGTATTTATCAGTCAAATTTCGCTGCTAACGGCACGTAGTTTAAAATTATTCAGTGTCAAAGTTCACCGGATTCGTCTGTAATAGTCCAATATAGCTTTTCAAAGCTGATAAAATGGAGAATATATCTTGCGCACGATTCCAAACTCTACATTCTTACCTTTTGAATTTACACAAGATCCAGATTAATCTCTTTATTATGTTATCGCTCCTTCAAACTTGAAAGAGCTGGTCTTCTAAACTATTCAATTCAAATGACAGGAAGAAATGTTCCTTGGCCCCCGCTGAACTCGTTTGAACTAGACTAATTACCTAAGCTTGAGCAACCTGTTTTTGCAGTACGCGATATAGAATGCATAGGGTGGCAGTATCCTTAGGAAATCCCAATAGGGTGGCAATAGATCACTTGTTCAAAATCAGAAGCATGCATATTTTGGATTTTGTTTTACGTAGACCTCTCGATCAGATGCGTCTCCATGATGGAAGACGACTCGAGGAGAGTGGAAGTCACAGTCTCCTCGGTGGTCCATCAGTTGTAGGAGCTTGGCAACAATCACACGGTCAGTCTCCGAGTAGTAATGAAAACAACATTACGGGTGGAAACGGGGGTGGTCACAACCAACCCCTTGGTGGAACCATACGTTCAACTAGCCATACGCAACAACAGCCATCGTCTCAACTCGGTGGACGAGATCTCGATGTCCCACGACTCGACCTTGTTGACGAGCAGATTCGCCAAGTTGACTCTTCATGTGTAACTATTAAATTTTTGATATATCTAAAATGAAATATTCCATTGACAAGTAAATAAAAACCCTATATTATATTTAGTCATTGGAAGTCATTCGTCACAATCGAAATGTAAGTTTTTTTTCAGAAACACAGTACCTTTGTAGGTGTATTTAATATTAGCAGCACTAGGTCCCTTGGTGCCACTTTTTACCATATAGGTATGTCGTAATCCGAGTTGAGTATTTCTTTTCATTTTGACCCTCTTCGTTTGATATTTCCTCATCCTCTTTTTTAGTTAGACGTAGGACCTGAGGAGCATCCGCTAGAACACGGGTATTCGATGTGGTTCTCACGTCGAACAGGGTTTAAGCAAGCTGGGACGATGCCGAAGTTTGAAGATTCCCTTAAACTTCTAGCTACGTTTCGTTCTGTGGAAAAGTTTTGGAAGTGCTACACCCATCTACGTTTTCCAAATGAACTCACAGGCCACGCAGACTACCACCTTTTCAAGTATGGCGTAAAACCAATGTGGGAGGTACGCATACACAAATTTTACTATTCAATGTTGTTCGTAGCTTTCGTAATTTTCGTGCTTTGGTCAACAGCTACCTTTTCAATACGGGAGGTAAATACACCAATGTACAGGTTACAGTTGAGCATGACATCTGTAGCCAAACATTAACTATATGCAGGAGGATCGCATGAATTTATTGTTTGATGCGTGTCGAATGTAGTTCTACAAGCTTAAATTATTCTTGCGTCTCCCTGACACTTTGAATAATAGGAACAGCTTTAAGTACAGACAAATATGAATGAAAAGGTTTGTGCCCACCTTGCCGAAGTAACCGTGTTTTTACAAGTTAAATAATTTTAATGAATGGTACACGTGTCTACTACTATATTACGTATGCATTTAAATTAACAAGTTCGGCAATCATTATGCTTCCATTACTCGTATATTTGACAGCGTTGACTCTTATCTTCATTTATTACCATAATTAAAATATTGCGATCTATAACTACATTAGTCTTTAGTGTTTCAAATTACTTATTAGCACAATTACATTAAAGTAAAATTAAAACTTGATCAAAATAATCTACAGGATCCGGCAAATCGCGATGGAGGTAAATGGATTGTTCGGTTACGTAAAGGTGTGGCATCGCGCGTCTGGGAGAATGTGTTACTAGCCATTTTGGGTGAACAGTTTCTAGTTGGTGACGAAATTTGTGGAGCAGTCATGTCTGTGAGGTCAGTAGCTAGTAAATAAGCTGGTTCATTACATTTACTGAAGAAGAAATGCGTGAGCGTGTATAGTTTTCGAGCCTAGGTTTATTTCGGAAATGGTTGGAAATACTTTTAATATAGGATATTAAATTATTATCATATATAATATAATAGGAAATAGATACAAAAAAGTCAATTAGTAATCTTACTTACGTGACGACGCCCGTGTCTTTTTGTCTGTGGAAGCTTTTAACGATCAATCCCATCTAAAGTCTAAGTAGACACATAAGTGAGGCTAATGACTGTCAGCAAAAAACAACTTTTAAGTGCGTTAAATGTTGAAAAATCAGTTGTAACATACCTTACACTTTGCGTCTCTATCAGTGTTGAAAATCCCGCTCGCTTTTTGTGCATGCAAAATTCTCCCGCCTTTCATAGCACTCGAATACCCCAAATATGCTGCAACCAGCGGAATTTTCATGTAGTTATCGGTCTTTAAGGACTGAGTTAGGCATATAAGCTAAATCCTGATCCATAATGTCGATCATTCTATATGTATTCAGTCGGAAACGAATAAGAGAGTAGAAAAACGAAGTGCGCGTCTCGGAAAAAATGTCGACAGGGTTGTTTGTTTTGCATTATGTAAGAGCAGCTGCCATGGCTTATAAATGGGAAACGTTATTTTTTTGATTAGTCGATTCAAGTAATACAAAGGAAGTTTCCTTGAATGTAGGCTATTTAAATAACTCGGGTATTATTTGTTCAATTTTTAAAGACTGCTTATGGCACACGGTATCAAATTCAGCCTAACAGAATGGTAAGCGGCTATGGCTCCCATGTACCTTCGTATTCGTTGCTATTTTCGAACTCATAGTTGAACACTTAATTTACGTCACTCTTCCCCTTTGGTATGCTATCAATTTTAGATATAACCAGGAGGACATCATCTCAGTGTGGAACCGCACAGCATCTGATAAAGGTGTCCGTTTGAAGATTATGGAGACTTTACGTCGAGTAGCCAACCTTCCGATGACCCACACCCTCGAGTACAAAGCTCACAATACGTCACTCCTCGATAATAGCTCGTTTCGAAATACCGATGAAACATTCTTCAGATAAAATTACCCACATAGAACACCTATTTACACAAACAAAAACAACGGCAACACAAAAGGTGACATAAAAATTGCAGATATTTTTACAGTACTCAAAATTTGATGTAAGAAATACGCTTGAGGCAGGGATCCTACATTGGACCTATAGGCGTGCACCCGAACACAAAAGCAAGATGTGGGAAAATAAGAAATAGATAACAAAAAACGGATACTTAAACGACAATAAATGCAGGTGGTAGTAAAGACCGAATAGAGGAACGAATATGGAGACATGATAGATGGACTAAATAACCATCAAAGGCACGTTAGTTCTTTATGAGAAATCCCTATCGGAAACAAGGAAAAGCAGTTAGCCGCGAAAGCGGCAACAAAGGCAACGACAGCAATGGCAGCGTTGAGTGAGGGATTGAAAAGGTAGCTCAATCAGCACTGTTCATCAGAAAAATATATTCAGTTCGCTTTTATATTGGTAAAGCTATTAACATGAAATTATTGGCTAGCAGGGGACGATCGAGAAAATATAACTGAAGGTATTATTAGAATTATTTGGCAACAACCCTGATAAATTAATTTTACAGATAGAATTATCGTAATATATGGCCAGCTTGCTAATCGAAACAACGAGAAAGTCAAACAAATGAGTAATATACAACGGATTTACAGTTATAGTGTGGTTTCTATAATAGCAGAGGACATGAGCATTTTGTTGCAGATTTCTTGTATTTTCTATCGGGTCTAACCATTTTTAAGCGCTACAGATTAAGCAAAATGCTTAATAAACATCATCTGGGTGATGAATATTTCTAGTGCTCCTGGTTGCCTTTGGCGCTGTTGCTGTGTCAAGGGCCATCGTTTGAGATGGTCGATTAAAGTCGGTACTTCGAATGGAATGATGAGCGGCCACAGAAACATGTGTGTGTATGTAATAGAGTGTGGGGACGTAGAGAACGAAATGAAAAGATAAACTTTTCGCAATCAAATGTATAATATTTTAATAGATAATACAAAGAAGACGAATCGCAACAACACAACGAAAATTGTTGATGAACCTTAATTGACAACATTAGTTATTGATGTTAATTATGGTGACTGAAGTAATTACGACAAAGGTGGCATTATATGCAAATGAGAAAAAAAATAATGCAAATGGGTAGCTGGGACTACTGAAGATAAATGATAATATTAATAACCAAAACAATTGTTAAACAGATACATAATTACAGCCAAGGTTCTGGCAATTCGTTTGAGGTCGATGATATGCGAGCAGCATTTTCGTGGCGGGCAATAAAGGGGAAAATAAGTAGTAAGCATAAGGCAATTAAGTTATATGCCCTAATGTTATCTGGTCTGTGTCTTTCATTTGTTTTTTCTCTTTAAAATATGTTGCATGCAAAAAACAATATTGAACACAGACCTTTTTAGAAGCGTATGTAGGTATATAATACCTTTTGGAGCTTATACAGGTAATTACTATAGGTACTGTAATTTTATTTACAATGAGAGGAAGCATCAGTTTCTTGAGCTCATCTTCTATACTTGCCTATGTCCGGTGCAGAAGCATTCAGTTGACATTCTCCATAACTAAGTAAATATGTAATTTTTATTTCGAACTGTGCAAATTCAGCATTAACGAACGGGTATTTAGACTTTAATATCACTACTATAATTATGTTTTATTTAATTAATATAAACCAAGTAGTTCAAATAATTTCTTTATTTTTGTTAGCAAGAACAGCGGCGTTGTCACAATTATTAAGCAATTTTCACAAACAGGTTTCTTGAAAATTGGCTTTTCCGATTTGCTTTTGGCAAAAATATACGCATAGAAATTCAAGCAATACGTTTGCTTTGCTAACTGCCAAATCAATAGCTAATGACAATATTGCTTCCTATACAAAGTTCGTTAAATGTTTTCTTGCACTGAGATGTCAAAGAAAATAGCTTTAGCACTGATAAGGATTACAATATTAATTGTATATAATTCAACAGCTTAATAGGTATTGGGTAAACGGAAGCAAACAAGGTAATAATATTGGCCTACCAACAACACCGATGCTTTTGTTAGTAGGTAGAGTTCGTTTAAGTTCGAAAATGATATCACTTATTTAAGAAATATTCGATATACTAGTTTGCAAGACCTGTAGCTACTTGAAGCATATTAGTGTTAATCAAGGATATTTTTCGTTTTGGACGCTTGTTAGGGAAGCTTCAAGTAAGGCTTTTTTTGACAAACCACTGATTAATGTTTTGACCATGGAATTATTAAAGCGTAGCAACTATTCCCGAGTAGCGTTTGGCGAATCCATAAATGCATTTTTATGCATACTTGATGAGTAAAAAGCACAATAAACAAAAAAAAGTTACGTATCTTCCTTTCATATAAATTGCCGCTGTATAGCTAAAAAATTCTGACTGACTATAACTTTACAGATGAATCGGTCTGGCACTATTTTCATCCTGAACTCCACCAGGTCGTCTTTGTCCTTTGCCCTTAACACGCGCGTGACTTTGATGGTGAGCCATTTGTCGGAGATTCGCTTTACCATGCAAAGTCACCTTAATCGACGTACTTTCGGTTTCTTTAAAACCTAATTGCCCTTTAACGGGCAGGTTTTCTACCCCAGGCTGTGGACAAGCGATATTAGGAGAACGAACTGCTAGTGGAGTAGTCGTTGATAATCCGCGAACCTTCGTAGGTGTGCTAAGTGGTGTACGCTGCGTAACGATATCTGCTATTGAATCGAAAGTTTCTCTGTCTGAATCAGGACGAGTGGTAAATATAAGCTGTGAGGGACTTATCTCTTTCGTAACCTTGTCTTTTGGGATTTGATAAAGAGGTTTGTTTGAACTGTTCCTAAGAGCCTGTTCAAGCTCGCTGAAGTCAAATTTAATTGGCGTAAGAACTGGTGTGCGGATAAGTGCCTCAGCAGGTGATCGCGGATCCAACAGTTTGCTTTTGGGACGAGCGGGTGTAGTACACACTTCATCTGGACTTACAGGAACCTGTTGATTTTGCAAAGATAAAAATTTGTCAGATTACTACGTCTGTGGAAACTAAAATCCAGAAGTTTTTAAGCAGAGTACCTAGAGAGGTACTGTCAGGTATGAAAAACTTTAATTAAAATAGAGGTTTCACTATTTATGCACTTGCTGAAAGTATAAATTACATAGAAACCAGCAGTACGTCAGTCGTTTTTTACGATGAAACGGTAAGTATACATTAATTAAACATTTACGAACTGGAAGTTGCCACTATTTAGGTCTTAGAATAATTATACAAATCTAACTGAGAAATAAAGGCCTGGATTAAAGTGTCATTAGCTAGCCCTACTCTAAATAGTGTAACTGTTAAAGTCTTACAGAGGCATCTCTAGCTGGATTGATTGATTCAATTCGGTTGCACTGATGGGTTGTGAACGACCAGACTGTATTATGTACACAAAGACATGGTAACGATATTGTTTAATATCTAAAAAAAAAGATACTGATGTAGCAGTATATAGGCCACACAACTAGCCGTATGTGAATGGCTACTACTGCTACCGCACTCAAATATTTCGCTGTGCCGTATATTACTTAACTTGCCATTGCATGCTCTATCCTTTGTTAGCTGGGTCATAAGACAGATTCACACTTATGTGTAAGAAAAATAGTCAATGCTAGGTAAATACTTGTTACCCAGTTATATGTAGAACGTAAAAAATATGAAGTATGTAGATAAATATAAAAATAACAAAGTGAAGTATCAGCATAATCAGTGTCCGGGAAAGGTGATATTTTTGTGCGTCGCTCAGTTTAGATTGACTAAGTTAATGAATTTTAATACAGTCAAAGGTAGTATTAGATCAATAATTTAATTGAATATGAAACTGGGCCCTGCTTGGAGAACCTACAATAATTGGAGTGCGATTTATTCCAGCGGATGGAGATCTCGGATCGAAGGGCAATTGGCGTTGAGGTTGCATCGGAGTGTTCACAGATTCATAATCGCTGGAATGTTTTGATGTTCCGCTTCCCATCTTTACACTTCAAACAAGCATTAAGCTAATTCACAGTTTAAAAGTAGATCATAAATATTTCAAAGTTAATGAGTCCAAATCGAAATTATAATTCTTTAGTCTGGTACACAGCCTGTCATCATCAGTTGCGCCAATTACTCTCAAACGGTGGATTTAAATCAGCTGTTAAACGACGACCTTGGATCCGAGTGAAATCATCTATACTTTACGACGTCGAGTTTTGTCTCATTGAGGTCTTTCCAATAATAAGTCTTGATGTTATTTTAAAAATATTAACGCTTTATTTATTATGCATGTACACCAAATTATGCATTATGTAGTTCCGATTTGCTATTTTTTCTAAGCGGGGTATTGCACAGAACACGGAGCTACAAGCTGTATCGAACTGCCACTTTCAATTTGTAAACAAGCCTTACGAGTGCGGCTACTTCTGAGAAAAAGTGGTGTAGATTGTTGTGTTGTGTCCTGCATGTGTGGAAAACACTCAGCATTGGGAGCAAATAAAATCAAGATTGTGTTACGTGAGGTTAGTTTAGGCGCACTAGGGATCTGCTCTATTGTTCACGAAAGCTACTTCTGCTCGATTTTATTTGCCAACACAAATACTGTGCCGTCCGTCATACAACCGTGAAATACTTATCGATTCCACGATAGGAAAGTCCTTCTAATTTTTCAGTGCTTTGGCTGTCCGCAAAGCTGTACATCAATCATATGCAACGTCCGAACATGTCATTTAGCAATTGTATAGTATTGTGAGTCTTTTTAGTACTAACATGTACATGTAACTGGAACAGCGAGTTTCATAATGTTGTTTTGATACGGCACCGATTTTGCCTATTTTTATAATGGAAATAATTCCTGTTATTATCGCTGAACTTGTTCGTTTTGTTTTTGTTGCATTCTCTTTGCCAGCCCACCGGGTGGGATATTGCAATCGCTGAGGCTTCAGCACGCCCCCTCTTCAAAGATTCCGGAGGACAGCTCATAAGAATTAATAAGGCTGGGATAGTCGGCTGGGGCTAAGAATCGATGTCGTCGTATGCTGACGAACCTCTTCCACCCGGCGTCAATCCGGACGACAACAAATCGGATGATGACAATGAATTGCTATCAATCCCTACGCCACCGTTGCCTCCTGGGGCGCCTCCACCCCCACCAAACGCTATCCCGAATTTCGCCGCAGCGGCCATCAAACGCAGCGATTCCCCCTACAGTATAGGCGATTCGCTATCGGAGCCAGAAAGTGATGACTGTGCACCACTGCGTGGATTGGCCGATGATCTCTTACCACCAGGAGTTGAAAAGGGCGATAATAAGGATAACCTACCGGCTGTAAAACCACTTCCGCCACCTCCAAAATTTGTTCTTGACGATGAACTTTGCAAGAAGCTTGCCCAGCGGAAGGTGGGTTGCTTACATACAAGAATAACTTTATTGGTATTAAATATAGCGAAGTTAGGTAGAAAAAGGTTGTGTGATTACACAGTGCACTAAATGAATTACGGAGTCTAGATTTAACAGTTTCGAATATGATCCTCCTTTCAATAAATGTTTCTAGAATTCACTAAGAATTTTATTTTTAAAATGTTATGTTTCTTAAAATAGGGCACTTCTTTTTGTTTTAGGGAAAAAAAGAAGACAGTTTTGCTTTTCAGTCATTTGTTTTTTCTGTTTTGTCGGATCGCCACCAAAAATACTGTGTTGTACAACCATTAGGCTTTATGCAAATAACGCTATTTGCAACTGTTGTGGACTGTTGTGATTCCACAAGATGTTGCTTTATTTATATATACTTAAGGATAATATAAAATGTAGAGAAATATAGTATTTATTGTAAATTCTAAAGGTTCTCAGGTACTCTCCATGCAATTCGTTTATTGCAAATTTATTTTAGTTGCATTATTTGTCGTCAGCGGCAGAAATTTCTTAACATCGCATTATTAAAGAAAAATCGGACATTTTGTTTCAAGTACAGAATAATGAAAAGTATCTAAACATAAAGATACACAATTTTTATGCCTATGTTGGACATCGCCTAAACCTCCACGATCATAGCTCAGAGAGTGCCCGTTATGTCCTCAGTTTACTTTACGCAGTCGGCAAGGCCAATAGTTCGTGTTGTTTACGAACAATTTCACGCACTGTTTTAAGTAATAATGTTCAACAGCAATTGAAGTGTGTTGCACATTTGAATACGGCGTGTGTATCTCAAACAGGTAAAATGTTATTTCATTGAGACGATGGTTAACATGGGGTTGCCCAAAGAAGCTTTCGAAGCATTGGCTGCCAACCCGCACCCGAACCTACTGTGTAGAGAGATGGTAAAACGCCGTCTGTGGCCTCCGCCGCCACCAGGCGCAATGGATGACTTACCTCATCTCGAACTGTTCGACGACCCAGAAGGTCCTGTATTTCCGGAAGGTTTGCACACTCTAATTAAACGACTAACGCCATTACACGATGAGGAGGGCACTCCGCTAGCCCGATTGCCGCCTGGTAGTGTCCCGCTCATCGAAATGGCGAGTCGCATCTATGGGGAAGCGTTGCAGCGATGCCGCGAATCAGCACAACCCAAATATCGGATCCCTTCTCCGGAATACGTTCCACTACCACCGCCAGTGGCGCGGCCAGAGACTCCCCCGCTACCGCCCACTCCTCAGCCAGTGCCGGAATCAAAGAAACGTGTTAAAAAACTTCTTGAGCAGAAACTAGCGGCTCGAAAAGCCCAGATTGAATTGAACCAGAACAGCAAAACATTCAACTTTAGTCACCTTGTCAACATGAGGAACGCATTACGTAGAGAAGGTTCGTAGAGTAGGCGTATTAATTAAAAACACCATGATTTGATCGTGTTAACAAAAAGACTGACAGCGTCAAAAATAACGTAGTTCCTTGGCGGTTTTGGCTTAACTCTCATAATAACGGTACAAAAAAATGTTTTCTCATATGATAAACGTGTAATTAAAGTGCGGTTTATTATTTTGAATATAAAAAAGATCGGTTGTTGATTCAAGTGGGCGAAATGTTCAGATCAAATATTAAGACAAAACATTTAATAGTCTTGGTTTCTTAATGTAATAAAAGTAACTTCGAGTTGAAGCTGAGTCGAAATCGCAATAATCTTGTCCTGGTACACCATCTCTGATGACTCATTCTAACTGGCACGTCTCATAAAAACTGATTGACAAAGGCCAGTAAGATTAACCAATTATTGAACATTCAATACAAAAGGAAATAAGGTTAAATCATTTCTACAATTATTTATTGTTGGCGGTGATTTGTCTCTTCTTAACGGATTAATACAGAAAAAGAAGAACTGGCGTTACCTCGTGATGATGACAATTCAACGGGCGCAACGATGGCGAGCATTTTGAACGATGACAGCTCACAAGAAGACAGCGACGTTTCTTCAAATTTGCCCACACGGAGTAGTCCGACTATTGGGTACGTATTATATTTATTAGTGTTGAACTTCCCTTCGCCCCTACCATATTTTCAGTACTACGACGGCTACCATGTTCGACGTCTTCATAAAAGTCAAATCAAGAGCTGTATTAACCACTTTTCTATAATATTATATGTATTATATATTATATTATAACACGTTTATAATCTCATGTAACTGTTATTTATTTTGGTGTTACAATTGTGATCTTCCAACATATATAATAAACACACATCTCTTTCTAAACACCTTCTTCTAAATTTCATCTAAACATTATGACTATTGAAGATAGTTACGTTACCTCTCTGTACGTCCATCGACAGCTTTTAGAATGAAAGATCTTACCCTTGGGTAGTTTTATCGTAGAATTTATTAGAGGAAGTTTACAAGTCAAAATCTAGGCCCTCCCAAAGTCTCGAATGCCAGCGGATAAAAACTTTATTGGCCCTCCAAAAAAGTATTACCAAAGCATACCTTGTTGTTGTATCAGTACGCTGGTGTGATTTCGTCACTGTATTGGCACTGCAGTCGGGAAATGTATGAGGGAAGTTAGAGGGCGACAGGGAAGACTTCTGAAATAATGTCCTCTTACTGTGATAAAGACTTTTCTTTTTTTGCTATAAATTTCGGTGTGAAGCTCGTCCAAGTCTTTGAGCTAACTCCGCCACGCTTTTTACGATTGTACCACAGAAGCACTTGAACTGCTGATATAAAAAGGAACATTTTCAGATCGAAGTGGTACCATACTAACTAGTCAATGACCGAGTTGCCAAAATGAAGGAGCTAGACCTCGTCAATTCCAAAGACAATGAAATATTATGAAACGACCGATTCAGTCAGAACATGTCCGTAGAAGCATCACTATATGTGACAAATTGGCATTTACTAGTTGGTAGTGATTCGCCAAAACTTCAAAGTACTATGCAAAACACTCCCACTCGTTAACATTTGATTTCAATATTAATTTAAATTTAGATTGGCTATTCGAATGTACGAAAATCTTTATTATGCCAGGAAATTAATAAGAATTATTTTGTCGGAGAAACGAAGTCTTCTGGTGTAACGCCAAGCAAATGCGGGAAAAGAATTAATTAAGTAAAGATACATTTCATGTTGCAGAATAGAAGAAGGAGAGATTTTAACCTCGGCAAAAACAACCCGAAGCATCAAATTGCGTAAGTCTTAATTTTAAGTTGAGCTTATCTATTCATTGTGATCTAATGCTATAGATCCCTAAAGACAATGTAGAAAACACTTAAAATAGTTAATAATGGGCATCCATGTTAAAGAGATGGTGGAAATGTTTTAAATTGAAAGTTCCTCAGATAGCGGTAGCCAGGTTTTGCGTTAGAGTGAATGAAGGTTTACAATGTATGACTATAATGCAATTATCAAAAATTTCTATTAATGGTGATTCATTATTGTTTATTACACGACATATGACAATGTTTTAATCGTTTTCGTCAGGTGGCGCAACCTTGAAGGTGGCTCAACAAACAGCAGCATCGCCCGTGAGGTAAGTATCTATCATTCTGCAGTTATAAATCATATATTTGTTCCGAACTTCTACAAAAATCAAGGTGTCAATCTAATACGCATACTGGCGTATCCCACTGGTTCAGCGTGGGACATCGCCCATTACTCATTATGAGAACAAACCACAAGACTAAAGCTGGCTCAGCAAAGCTAATTAACGTAAATTGTGTGACTCAAAAACCATGGAACTACTACTTGAAATAGCGGTGTTCTAAAGTACAATAACTTGAAACATATAAATATTTCGTCTATTTTATTTGTTTTTTTTTTGTTTATTTTAAAAGGCCCGTTGTTGTAGCTAAGCGGGCTCTGTCTCCCGATAACGAAGCAAATAGCAGTGTTGCCAAACGGAAAGAACGCCGCCGACGCTGGGATGTTTTGCCTAACGGGGTCAAGCTCGACGCGGCTGATGAGGTTGAAGAAAGCATTAATCTTAAAGAAAACCGGTCAAACGCCGTCAAGCTCGAAACCCTTAAAGGGCGTACGTCAGGCAAAACAGAAAAAGAGCAAGACGCGGATAGCAATATAGTAAAGGCTGGCAAAAGTACGAATCGAAAGGACGCGCTTCGAAAATTGTCATTCGGCACAGAAGAGGTTCGTATTCTTTTTGCATTTTTGTTTTTGATATAGAAAGGATAACGTTCATTGGAGTTGGTGGAATGTATTTTGTGGCGATTTTCGCGCAATCATTTCATTCCGGGAAATATGGTGGGGTTTTTTTGCAAAGGACATTACGGTTTGGAGAAGAAGGTTAGTAGCGTTATGACGATAAGCATGTAAACTTTGTCATAAGTACTCAGGATGTTATCAGTAAAATCAGTGGACTTCAAAGTTTAGACATAGAACTTATGTGCTGCTAGCGCACTAAGGTTGGCTGATAAATACTTCAGTCTTTTCGAAACTTGTGAGCAAGAACCGGTTGATTGTGTTATAAAAGAAATTAGTTTAAAAAGAAACGTGTTTTAGTTTTGAAAGTTTAGTCCTAGTAGTCAAATTTTTGTGCCTCGAAAGATGCCAAAGCGCTGCGGGAATCATCGAATAACACTGAAAACATTAGGCAAGAAACTTTCAAGTGAGAGCACAGTACGTGAATGGTTCAAATGTTTCAAGAATATGGACTGAAATGTTAAAGGCCAGCGAGAAGATGACCAGGTGTCAGAATCCGTAGGACAAGAACGCCAAGCTGTACTGGAAACATTTTTCGCGAATGCAAAGCTTGAATTCTAAGCTAGCGTCTCACATTCAATATATTATGGAGCTATAACCCAACCACTGAAAATGCGAAAATGATTTGAGTATAGGCCGGTTAAAAATTCGTATAGTATATTATTTGCGGAACTTTAGCTAAAAACCCGTCCGGAGAAACATTGGCGTCGCTCTGGAGAAAAATCGAGTTTCCATAATAACGTCGAGTACGTTTAAACGTAAGGTGATGATAACACTAATAAGGTTATACTAGTAAAGATAATAATAGACATCGAGCGCGTTTTTTATTATGAAACGCTAACCAAAAGTGAAACAGTCTATAGTGCTGCCATCTTGAGTTTCCTACGAAACTCATAGACCGTTGGCACGGTAATCCAAAGCATACAGGCCGGTCACTTGATGACAATGTCATACCTTATCGCATTTCCTTAATTACTTTCTGAATTGAACAGAAAAATATGCAATGTCAGCTTCAGCCCGGCTATTTTTTCGATTAGATGCATGTGATTTTTATGCCCCTAAGGCCATATTGGTAGGCAAGCGTATCCCACTATCGGTAGATAGAGACATTGAATATCCGATTACGAATTGCAGATAAATGGATGTTCAGAAGTTGCCAGAGCGCTGAAAGTGTAACAAAAATACTTTTAACATGGAAAAGTCCGGTGGATCCGCTAGAACAGCTGCGCAATAACAATGCTATATGAACGAAGTGTCTAATCAGAAATTGTTGACTAAGATTCCGTTACCTTATTTGTTAAATCCAAGGGTATACGCTTCGATAACTAATGTGGTCATCATCAAAACAAATTGCCTTTAATCTACTTTGTTTTTACCTTCGAAGCGTTAGCATTACTCGATTACTAGAGCCGTTTGAATGTTGGCTGTACCCTCTGTTTACTTAAGCTGTTAGAAACGACCTTTTTCTCATTGCAAACACATTGCTGTACAATTCTCAGGAGGACCTAGAGAAGCGCCGTGAAGAGGAAAAGAAGTTGGCCGAAGAGCGGCGTATGAAAGAGCTCGAGGACGAGGCCATCAGACAGCAGATCGAAGCCGATTTGAAAGCCAAAGAAGTTGAGGAGCGCCAAAGGCGAAAGCGAGAACAACAGGAAGCCGACCGGAAGCGACTTGAGGAACTGGAAGCGAAGAGACGCGCTCGGGAAGCCGAACACAAAACGAAGAAGGATTCTAAGTTTAATCAGAATGATCGAATGCATAAAGCACCATGCAAAGTGGATTCGAAGGAGCGATCCGATAATAATAATAGAAAAGAAGATAAGAAACCTAAGGATCCAGAACTTGAAGCAAATGATGCCTTCGATAACCGAAAAGAAACCAAATTACGAGGAGAGCGGAATAGCGACACCGTAGAACCTGCCAGCAAAGAGAAGGATACTAAGAAACGGACTGACAAAAACAAAACTGATTCAAAGAATCGAGAAAGTGAAGACTCAAATACACAGACAGCTAAGAGGCATGATGACAAAAAACGAAGTCAAGGAATAACAGAGAGCTCGATGGAGCGCGAAGCTAACGATCGAGGACGTTCATCTGTCGTAGTCAAATCAGAGGCAATGGATAAATCTCTCACGGAGAACAAAACAATAAAGACTGAAGTTGGTGATGATGGCGATAAGGAGACTGATAAACCTAACGATAAGCCCACAGGAATGAATCCTAAACTACAGGAGTTGGCCAAGGCAATGCAAGTAGCTGTCGGACCTGTGGCAGTAGCACAAGAGCGCCTACTTGAGATGGTCCTAAAAACTCTGGTAAGTGAATTTTGTTTTAACTCAAACCGGTAAAGTGAATCAGGGTTCTGCTACACTCGTCGTAGCTAGTTATATGATTTTTGTGAACACGTTTTCTCTTTGTATAAAGTCTAGTTCTAGCATATCATTTTCAATACATTTTGATACATCCTTCCCTCCCCATATAATATTCTGACAAAATTCATTATTACTATTATTATTACTATTATTATATAATAAGAGCAGAATCATATCCACTTTACTTCGAGCAGCTCAAGGAGATACAAGCACCGCAGGTCAGCGGCGAATTGGAAGCTGTGGCGGCAACATCGGGAACTACTGCAGGGCAGGCGACCAGTACATTAATTCCAATATCGACCGAACAGCAAGTCATTAATAACTTGCCTGCAACTTCTGCTCAGACCTCTACGGATGCTGAGCTAAGTACTAAGTCAAAGACCATGGCGTCGCCTAAACCTGATCAGGGAAAATCAATTGAATTGGATAAGATGAAATCCGGAAATGATCTTTCACCAGAAAAAGGGATCAAACAAGAATGTGCTATCCCCGTTGACGACATTTGCTCTAGGTCCGGGAAATCGGTAGATGGAAATGTACAAGCTACAAGCGGCAATGAAAAGGTACGGCTACACGCAGTTAGAAATTACATCTGTTGCACACTTAACGCACCCAAAAGACCGCCACCTCTTCCTTATCTATGTGTAGGTAAAATCAGAAACGTGATGATGCAGATTTGGACAGTTTGTATATCCATAAAAAAGATCCGTGATGTGCGGCTATTTGAAGCCAAATCATCCATATCTGTTTTTTGGTTTATACAAGTCCTCATACCAAGCTTGTGTTGCATACGCACTTCGTAATAGCAAAGACCAAACGACAGTACTTCTACTGACATAGTGGCATCCCTATATTTCGGTTAACTGCCTTATAGAGTGGCGGATCGAAAAAAAAGGATGAAGCCAAGAAGAAAAAGAAAAAAGACAAGAAAAGTCGGAACCGGCGGCTCCGAGAATCAACTGAAGAGACAACAGATCAACAACAGCGTGTGGTTAAAGCAGAGGCCGCGTTCTTCGCAGGCGTGAGTTGTCTAAATCTATGCGTCCGACCTGATTCGCCCATTTTTTTCAATCTCAGATGCATCCTCTTCATTGTTCGGGAACCCCAATGGAAAAAAGTCATTGACTATTCACGACCTTGCGGGTTATTCGAAATGTCATATTGTTATTTGTCTGTGCTTTCAGGCATCCTCGTACACATTGTTTTTGCATAAGTGAACTTCATTTTTTTGAAGCTTGCCAGTTGCTTCATCTATGTGTATATATGTAAACACTTTAAAAGTAATCAAACAATAAGCATGTTAATGTTAATGACATTTTTAACAATGATTTCACTTAGTTTATTGGCAGTCGTTACAGAATATTCGTTCATGAATGTACTGCGATTACCAACTAATGACTTAAGGTTCTTAATCAGTTTGCTATGAGCCGCACCTTAGCTCATAACATTAATAGTCGCCGAAGGCTTAATAGAAAAGTTTTTGAAAATCAGCATTGCATATAATTTCTATGATATTTGCAGAGAGCGCTGGATATAGTAAGCACTTCGTTAAAGGGACACATGATTATTGTTACTGATATTACACTATGATAATAAGCTAATATATTGGACGTTCCTGACTATGTCTAACCAGTAACTTTGACATGTTTTTTTTCTGTGATTTCTGTTGCGGTTAACTGCTAAATAGGACGAGGTAGAGACAGTCGTCGATCGCACCTTTAAACGTCATCTGCGCTTCCCCATTTTCGGTATTCGTTGTACAAACACTGAACCACCTCTAAGGTTTTCAGCAAATTTAGCCCACCAAAAGGATCTTATTGCATTGGTAAGTCTTTTGCATTTTTTTTGCACACTAAAAGAGCTTATACTTTTATAAAACACACGTTAACTGTGCCCAGTTGATAGGAAATCTCCATAAAATAGTATAGTATGACGAATACGTTGCACATGAACAATTTGTATATCATTTTTAACATTTTTTGATTGTCATGTTATGTCAAGAGGTGCCAAAACACTTCGTATAATCTCATTTAGCAAACAATTTTGATGATAAAAGGTGCCGCTGTTGTCACAGTTTCGGGACTCATTGTTGTTATTGTTGCTATGTTAGGTTGATCGGGTGCGGCCAGTGGAGAGCATCGTCTCAAGACGAAGTGTTGAATCGATAAAAACACTAGAGCATATAGTAGCTATGGAGGATGATAAGCTCTCTCCAACATTGGATAAATTGGAAGAAGAAGAAATGGCTCGGCAGGGAGATGTGGATGAAGCTGAATTTTTGGGAGATGAGCTATTGGCGACAGGGGTGCTGGGAATGGCCGTCCTTGAAGGTGACCATGAAGATCATTTAACAAAACCAGTGAATAACAAAAATCTCATTGAAATAACTCCTACAGCTAGCCATTCTGAAAGTGATGGTGCTACCTACACAGGCAATCTTCTCGAAGTACCCATAGGTGAGCAATACTAATCACAATTGTCGGTTGTGTAACAAGGCTTACTGGCTAGCCTGCTATAACTTTAATAAGTCTTAATTTCGTTCATTAATTTCGAGATTTACACATTTAATAGTTATAAAGCCTGTGACACGTATGTCCCGACACAACTACTATACAAAGTTGTACGTTAGCGCGTTTTTACTCAAATTACAGGAAAAAGTATATGAAGTTATATAAGTTTGTTGAGCATATTCGGCAAAAAATACTTTCAAATTCAACAATTATTTTTAAAACAACAAGTTACACTACACAATTTGTGTAAGCGAAGTTATTTATAAAGCCAATTATTCAACTTGTATTCTAGGGGATAGATACCGTATGTAACATAAGTAGAATTTTTTTTACTTATGTAAAATGTGTGGTTATTTCGCTATAGATAGAGGTATATCCAAGCGAAGTTGCAGCCGCGAAATAAACCAAAATATTGAATATCGTTCAACCTACAGACTTTATTTTTACTAGCTGTAAGTAGCCACATAGATATCGTGTAAAAATTCTGTTCTGTGTTTTAGGAACATGCTAGTACAGCTACGTTATTTGGCATTTTCGAATTAGTAATATGGATCCGACGCTAACGCTAGCTTCATTATTTCTGCTCTGCAGAAAATATGCTTGAACGTTGAAAGTTGGTTGGGTCTAACTTATATACCAACTTCAATGAGTTGGTATATCAGGTTGCATAAAAGAGGGCAGACATGATAAGGATGGATTATATTTTATAGAACAGTTTTTGATTAATGTATTGTAGTCTTATATATAAGAACCGATAAGGTTTCGTCGTGTATTCAGCCATTTTCTTTCGTGTCGTTCTTTTTTCAGTCTGTGCTGCAGAATCAACATCGTCGCCTAGTAGCGCTGGCCAATCATCGGCTGTGTCACAGCAAGATTCTCCCGAATCGACGACGGGCCCGCCAAAGTCTAACACGGGCCTGCCCGCCAAACCAAAGGCGGCACGTGCTAAGTCCGTGTCATTCTTCGATGGGACAGTGCCAGAAAAGGATCCGCAGGTTCGGTCGCCACCTCCGCCTTCACCGTCGCTCACTGAACGTCGTAGAAACCGACAGGGCCAAAAAGTGCCTCTGCTACCACCTGCTACCTTAGTTCTAGCGGCTCAGGGTCGTAAGCGTCCAGGAAGTCCTCCGCCGGCTCCAACCCCTCCACCTCCACCTGGCCGACCGAGCATACTTTATATAGAGAACCCTATTACGCACCAACTGTATGAAGTAATACATCCTGGTAATGGCTTAGTCATGACACCTGGTGGTCTAGCAGACGTTCGCGCGGATCCTGCCAACCACAAGTACATCTATGCGGAAGTAGAAGGCGCTGAAGCAGCTGGACCTGTTCTTGTCGAAAACTTCATGCCAAGGGTCCACCTGTTTCCGTATCTTGTACAAGCTATGGCTAACACAGGAACCCTACTATAAAGACATCTGTGAAGTAACGCGGCAGATCCATGTCACACTTATAAGAAAACAAAAGCGCAAACAGGAGAACCGCTTTTTGGTTTAACAGGCTTCGAGGGGGTGGAAGTTAGGTAACAACAAGCTTAGCTTTTCTTGTGTGACAGATGAAACTAAACCTGTATATTTATAGTGTAATGATAGTTACATAGGATAATTATTACTAGATCGTGTGACTGAATGAATTTAATGGACAGCGTAGTGGCTGCATATTTGAGAAAACGTGGGCATGTTGCTAGAGGAAACGTTTGTGGAGAATTTATCACCCATTGGTTTGATTTAATTTACTTTTACTTCAATATTTGACGCCTCACTAATCATGTTCGCTATTGCATCCTCTCAATTCGGTTTTTCTCGACTCGCTTAAAACAATCTTTTGATATTCAAATAATTTATGTTGTGGAAGGTTTTGAAAAAATGATCTGATGGTTTCGTATATAGTCATTCACATTCTACATGTGAGGCTAATATGTTTGAACTAAATTCATTATTTTATTACCTGATGTAGTACTGTTAATAGTTGGCACATGTAGGCGATTTCAATGTCCAATTAACAGAAATTTCAGGAAAGCCATTATTTGAAAATTATCCTACTTGTTCATACTGCCAATGACAGACCCAATGAAGTCACTAGAATTTGTAACGACGTTAAAAAATGAATGCTGCTGTACAGTCGAACTCCCCTGTTGCTATAGTAAACAACTGTTGCGGGTTGAAATTAATAAAATATATAATAAAATAGTGTATGTATAAAATGTTGCAGATGATCTCATGGAGTTAAGAAAGCTTCATGCCGAAGCTCAATTCATTGCTATGTATATATTTCGACCAAACAATAAGGTTTAGTAATTTTTATACGACTCTATGATTTATTATTTAAATAATAAATTTGATCTGCTCTTTGCAGTCAGAAATCTCGAATTTGAAAATTACGGAAAGGCGAAATTATTAAAATCATTTCTTACTAGTTGTGTCGCGCTTTAGAAATGGAATAGGATCCAATCTTTAGATTAAGATAGTCCGATCAATTTGTCAGCGTTCAAAGCGCTATTGCTCATTTCAGGTAAGGACAGGTTCTTTTCAGGTTTAGCAATTCGTTTTCTGTATGTTTGCGAGAGGCGATCCAGGCGACACAAAACGAAGCAACAATTGCACCTTTATTTTTCAGGGAAAAAATATCATCAAATATCATTTTGGTTTCTTGCACCCACTAAAACTTCCTTTGTTTTTCTTCCAAACGGATAGAACCACCGAGCCTGATTTTCGTGGAATACTACTTCGGGTTGGCCAGAGTCTTCCCGGTCGGGTTTCCTATTTCTTTAGACGAGCTTAGTACCGTACGGAAGCGCATCTTCTTTCGTATTTCCACTAAATGCGACCCTGTAACACCATTTCCAGCGCAATATCCTCGCGATAGTTTTTCAAGCTGGACCTTTTCTGCTCTCTCTAAACGTCTTTTCTGTCCAAGATTTATCGGTGGTTTCCATCCTTTCTACCAGGTTTTCTCGGATTCACAGATCTGTTTATCATACTTCCGTTTCCGCCCACACCTCTGTAAGAAAGCGTCTGAATATCGAGGGTACAGCAGTCGAACATACTATGTTCCGCGTCACCCGATATTCCAACTTAGCAATTGCAATGCTAGGCAATGCACACATTGCCGGTGCCGTTCACTTAATCCTGCGCGTATAGACCTGGAATTTCCCATGACCAGTAAGAAGCTGACTCATGCTACCATGTAAAACGCTAGGTCACTCTCTGGCCTTTCAATTTTTAATTAACTGCATTATATATCATACTGTAACACTCTGTGCGACTCCTGGTATGTATTCTCTTTTTATTTACTATTCATGTTGGGTTTACTGCCTTTCCACGCTTTGTTTCTCCAATCGTTTAACCGACATTTTCCTTTTTTGTATTCAGATCCCAGGGTCGGAGTTAGCCCGCACCAGAACTGCAGCGCACTATCTGTCCTTTATCCTAATTTGGTCCTAAAAACGGCTCCTCTCTATGCGCTTCTTGACAATGCCCTTCCAGGGGCTGTTTCCAGCGTCGTCTTGATCCAAACTAGTGCTCCAAAAAATATAATGAACTTCGCCACTCACACCAGTAACCTTCTCTCCCTTTTTCGGCCTGTAAGAAGGATTCTTGTTAGGTCGCCCGCATTTTCTTCGCCGAAGTGGCTGCCCATTTAGGGTGAGGTAGATCAGGCGGTATCAAATACGTGGCGGTTTTACCCAATCTGAGTTAGTTTCCATTTAGTTTTAGGTCTATTGCTGGATATTTCCTTTTTCGATCAGTAGAATAGCTTCACTTTTCGCCGGTGCGATTCGCGGCCGTTTTCTCTAATGCCTAGAGAAAAGTATCTATAGCGTTGTTAGCCGCAATGTCCAACGTTTGCGCATTACGTGCCTTCACAACAATTTCCGAGTCATTGAGATAGACTAGCCATCGCATCTTTGGCGATAAGTACTTTAGCTTAACACTTAATCGGAGGCAGAGATCCACTGTAATGGGTCATCAGTATCTGTAAGCCTTCGTCGAATAGTAATTTGGAGAGTCCGAGGCTATTCAGATAAACTGGGGTGGAGCTCTACCTTTCATCAGGATTTTGTGAATAGTTTTCCGTGGAAAGCATTTTTGAGGTCCAAGACTATTATGAGCATGAAATCTCCTGTGTATATAGTTATTTCCCTAGTAGCCTGTGCGTTTGCTATAGCTTGCACTAACTGGTTTTTGTTGAATTTAGATTAAATCGCAGCAACTTATTTTCTTCTGAAGTTCTCTGAGGCAATATTTGATGGTGGCTTCTATCATTTCGACTAACGTTTTTAAACTGAACAATGAGATTGGCACGACATTTGCTTCTTCCATGTTTTCCAGAAAGTTTCATTTTATGCAGGAGCCTCATGGGAGCGTCGGCTACAAACCGTAAGAATTTTTCGAAGAAAGTCCTACTTGCTATCTTTGCCACTGTAACGAACGATTTGACAATCGACGTATCGTAAAAAGTGACTTTAATGTAACTCGTAAAAAGAATCCAGTCCCAGACGAAAGAGCAATAAGATGAGAAGAAACTAGTAATATTATTTTTTATAATATTACTCACGATATGCTAATTTTTCCAAGAAATAATATTTTCGAAGTATGAGCTCGATAGCTGAAACTTAGCTTACTTTAAAATAATAAATATGTCATAAATCTTATCCTATTAAGATAATCCTTTAAATAAGGCATTTTGTTTAAAAGCATTTTCCAGTATTTTCACTTCGTTACGACAATTTTCATTTTAAAATGAAAAAAAGTCGTAACATAATTTCATGAAAATGACGAACAGTATGTGCACATTACAGGGCTTTCTCAAACAGTAATTATCTATTTTACTTTTGAATCTTTCTTTACTAGGTAAATTTCCATATTGTTAAAGAATTGTTAATATTATTCACTATTACGCAGTTTGCCGCATATCAGCGTATGCAACCTTGTGTGCTCCTCAATTTCTTGAAAAAATTTTCTAGCCTTCCCGCCTGCTTTGATGTATGGCTCAATCAATTAGCTGTAGATTAATTTTTGTTGTAGTCATCTGCTCAGCCTGCTATTTCTTGCGAGTTGCGGTCCCTTGCCTTCGCTAGTTCGCCCGTACCTCTGCGCGTTCTGGAATATGTTTTGCGTGCTACTACATATTCAACATACCATGAGTTTGAAGTAGTCAGTCTCCTTTGTCACCGACAATATTTAAGTGGTTTGCAGGATTATAGCAAATAGTTCCTGAAGTGGCTGAGCGTTTACGAATAGTTAGTTTATAGCTTCTAGCTTTCTTTTTAGGTTCTTTATCAGGACCTCCTTTCAGAGGTGCTTCGTGCTGTTAGAAGCAATTCTTTAAGGTCTTTACGTAGTCAAGGCAGTCTTAATACCAAGGGTAGACTAAAATAATGATATTCCGCGTAGCCTGTCAGATAAGCCTAACTGATTTAACGTATTTTATGAAATATGAGAGTAGTAAAACAAGTTGCCACGTATTTGTTAGATCCACCTGAAGCTCCTGAACTCTAATCCCCTACCTAGGCCATCTCGTTTATTGCTGTTGCAGAACATTTGTACTTTGTTATATAATTTGAGTGAAGCAGATGGGATTGACCGTGTCCCAAGTGGTAATGTATGTAATAGAAAGACTTAATTATATAGCATGATCTGCACAGAGCATGTCTTCGTAGAAATATTTTAACGTGGAAACGATTCTCTTATTTTGTTATGACTGCCATTTTAGACTAAAACTATCTAAACAATTAGTTTCATAAGAAGACATCTGTGTGTACTTAAAGCAGATTTTTATTCTTTTATGTCATATTTCGTTGTCATATTTACAATGGATTAGTTGCATTGATCTGCGGCTCTTCATACAAATGTATTATTGTCAGTTATTGCAGTATGTAATATATGTATGCAATATTTCATTAATGTTGTTAGGAGTGGTCAATTTAGCAATAAGATACCTGCTGACAGATACATGACGATGGCTACTGAGGTTATGATCCAAAGCTGTACAAAATCTATATTGTTTTGGCAGTAATACAGATCAGTTTGCTGCTATAAGAATCCACGAGACCAATTACATTAAACGTATTTTTTCGGGGGCTGATATGCTAATTTTTTTATCCAGTCAACAATCTTGAATCTAAAATGATAGCTTCAAGCAGTGTGAGGCAATTTAATAAGTAAAGATTTCAAAATAACAAAAATAATGTCATTATTTTTATAGCAGTTGCATAGTATGCAGGTAAAATCCGAAATAACTATGATATTTCGAAGCTATGATATTTTGCATGTTTCTAAATAATGCTTATATAAATACCAAGTGATCTCTCGGCAATATGAACTTGCTGATACCTTTCTTACCGCCGGCGGCTATACTACATCGCAAACTATATCAGAGATGATTGCTATCGTAAAATAGCAGAGACCATTAACTACACCAAAAATTCAAAAGTACTAAAAAATGTTAACAAGCTAGTTCCAAATATTTGTAAATATGTGTTTATTTGTAGAACAATCAGTTCCAAGTTTGTTATTCACTGCTATCTGCTTTTAATTATAGGTAGTTCACCACATTTTCTAAGGTTCGAGCCGTTACTTAGTTGGTGGGATACAAGGAAGACCGCAAAACAACGAGAAGCTGGCTTTATTATTTCCTAGTTTTTTACAACTTCAAGGACTTTGAGGATCACCAGCGAAGTGTACTAGTCCGGGCGCTGCCATATTAGACATAACGCAAAATTTATATAAAACTCTTCAATTAGAATTACTCAGGGGGGATGTAAAATACGGGAGTACCCCTTCTGCCGCTTCTAGTGGAAACATGGTCTGAGACAAACGTATTTAAACAATAATACGACTGAGGCAGATTGCAAAAAATCGCAGCACTCATTTGAAGAAGCTTCCAAAAACGACATCACTGCTTAGCAGTCGTAGATTATGTGCCTAAAACATTAAAAATCGGCAGTTGCATTGTTAAAATACACCAAAGAGCGAACCATAGAACTTTCAAGAGGCTCGTATCTGATGTTTTCGCGGCCTGTAGGATTTGCATATGATAGTGTATGACTTTTTGTCATTGTATTTCACGCCGACATATTTAACGAGAGACCAAGGCTGCTGAATATTTAATATTATACTATTAACAGCATTATCGCAACATAAGGCCGTCTATATGATACATGTGTTAATATTACGTGTGCAAATGTGGTAGGAGCTTTTTAAGCCAGTTCAAAACAGGTAGCAACGGACCACTCTAGGTCCGTTGATAGGTTGTGTACATGAAGTACTGTAGGTCTAATTGTATTACATATACTGCATATCATACACATGTCTTTTAAAATTTGAGTTCTTAGGTCCTTTCATATACGCATTTTAAGAGTTTTGTTCCTTTTTGTTTTTTATCATATACTTAATACGAACACTGTGTTTAACAACGACTTTGTAACTGCTCGTTGTGATCAAAATAGATATATGGCTATTCACACGTAAAAGAGGCGAATAAGGTAGATTTAGATACAATCTTTGCGCATATTCTCTATATAGTAACATTGGCTCGGTTAATTATCGCTCATGTTTTGTCAGCTTGTTCACTGAACATTGAAAAACATTCCCATATTATTAAACTACAACAACTCTTGTCATAAGTAGAGCTATGTTTTTTCATTCAGGTGCTATCAGTACCAACTTAATTTGTTCATGCTATCGATCTTAGATCGCAAAAGGCGTCTCATGAAAAATTTCTAACAACAAATGATCCTTTATAAAACAATCGCGAAATAAATTATGGTCGCCCAATGTAATCTATGTACGCTGGCGACAACAGTTCGGTTTTATCACAGATAACTAAAATCTTGGACATTTTAGTACTAAAAGTGTTAGCTCAAATCCTGAATAGTGACTCTAGCAACGGTTTCTCTGTATCGACTGTAAAATTAAGTTGTGAATTATTTAGTTGATTGGCTTTTGATGATATTGATTATAAATTGATGTTTCGAGTTTTGCGTCCGATACTTGAGCCATTAAGTGTTGCCTCAGATGGCTGGTCTTCAGCGCAAAACAAGGTTCGGATTCTGACCCAAATCACTTTACATGTCGCTAAATTAAGTAGGTAAACACTATTACAAAAACACCGGCTTATCGATCTCAGCGTGCTCTCTAAGCTAGCTCTGTTTAAAAACGCTACCTTCAACTACCAAATACATATATTTGTTTTCCATTCTTGCACATTGTACTGAATAAGCTATGCTTTCGAATCGTAATTATATTATTGCAATTATGGAAAGTTTTTTTTTTGTAACTTGATGAGTGAATTGTTACTTATGTCTAAAAATATATAATAATGTAGCAAGGGTAATGCATAGAAAACATAACATTTGAGGCTGTATTCATTATGATGAACTAACGACGTCCATCTGAGCAAGTTTTTCTCTTTATTGACTTATTTTCACGTTTATAGTGCGTGTCTGTACTTAGTTGATGTGCAAAGAGTTCGCAAAAAAAGGTAGAATATAGGTTCTTCCATAACTGAGTGACACCGTTCGCACAGATATCCATTGACCATAGTCATCATAGTTTTATGGAAAAACATATACGTACCATTACGGTAAGATATTCAACCACTTTACCATTTTTTGAATATATGACTATCAGTAAGCTTGATACATATTGTTGTTCTCCAGCATCATCATCATCAGCATCATTATTATTATTATTGCTAATTTGCGTTGCTTCGCATTGAACCCACTTCTCGTACGCTTGCCGTAGTATGTACCTATTAGAATCATCGATGTGATCCTGTGTGGTAAGGGTAAATCGCAAAAGGCTGCGAAAATATCATTATAATAATTAATTAAAAAATCATAATGCAGCGTCTGCTCTGTTGTATGTGTTTACGCACTTATTTGATACTTGTTATAAACTGGGTCAAGTCCACACGCTGTTATTTGTTGATATTTCGTTATTGCCATCGTTTTATATAATTACCAACATATTATATAATTATACCTAAAACCATACTACGTTTGTACCATCGGACTCGGTTAAGCATAGCGAGTGATGCTTTAGGCAATATTTTTATCATTTCTAATTTTTAAATTCAAGACTAAACGCGCTAAGAACTCAAACCAGAGACCTCTAGTGAGAGATTCCCAATTGGAAATCTGTTTTACGAGCATCTATTTACTACCTAATAAACTTTTATTTTTCAAGTTGAAATGATAATGAAAATGATCGCGTTATTACGCCGTGTTTCGCGCATGTAAGTCATGCCCTCGTCGTCGCTGCTGTTGCTGTCTTCACTAAAGACAATACTATTGCTTTGTTGCGTTATAGAGAGGGAAATAATTTCTTTGTAAAAAATCTGTCCGTATTCGCTGCCTATATCAACGTAACCCGCTAGCAATAACAGATCTGTGACTATCGTGATTTTTATAACGTGTGTTTAGGAACTTACTCATCTGGAATCGTCTATTAAAATGTTACTTTTGGCCTCGCCTAACGTTTAGGAAGCTATATTATTGCGAAATCAGTCTAATATGTAATGGAACAATTACAACTAAACTGCCGCATTTTCGAAGGCGATGTGGCATGCAGCTGGATTTTGTGTGTCATTTCGCTTGTACAAACTGAGCTATTTTATAAAAAAGACTTGGCCTGGTTATGAATGTTAGTCACCCGCATTATGTACAAGAATGTTTGTTATATATAGTTCCATTATTCTAACTAAATTAACTTGGGGAACTTTTTGGAGTACGCGATGGCATTACTCGCTGTACGAGTTTTACCATATACTTTTAAAGTTCGATAATACTTTACCGATGATAGCGTAGTACCCGGTTTTTATATAGCACAGTGTCATAAGTCGCAATGCAAGCCGATACTATTTATTCATAGCTTGGTTTTAGAGAGACGCCACATGTAAACCAAACTATGGTATTTTATTGAAGAGATGATATTAATTAGAAGGTCATCCTCGTAGATGAAGAAGTCGATGACTCTTGTTTCAGCAAAAGCGCTGATCTTCTATGGATGCGTAGATATTCTCACTCCCAGGTTGACGCGACGTTACAAACTGGTAACTCCGACTTCGTAATTCCGCCACCGGCTTCATAATATTTCCTTCAAGATGGCTTCGTTCAACCATTGAGGAGTACTGCACATTTTCATCTTATGTGATAAAACAAAAAATCAGACAACTATTGTAATTTTTGTATGAGCTTAAGCAAGCCTACGGTAGAATACTAGAACGTAGTAACTTTATGGATGTTCTTCATTGTTTGCTACGACTAAACTGAATCGGCCAGAGACCTATGAGTTCGAAATGCAGGACCAAGCGTTTATCAAGACGAACAAAAGTCTACACTTCGAAATTTCTACACTTCATCAAATCACGTTATATTCTATTTAGTTTACCTAATTTGTAAAGCTACGAATAGTCACCGGCACCGTGTTGGTCAAGCTCCTCGTAGATCGGATTGAAGTGCTCTTTGCTTCCTTGGCGAGGTGCTTCTAAAAGAACCAATGCAGGTGTCAGAGGGGCCTTTTGTAACGGCAGAGTACCGCCGTATCCATCACCTGCATACATGTCGGGTAGGCTGGATTCGTTCTGAAATATCGGATATTATCATTGCTGAGCTTTGGTATTTTTTGTTGTTGTTAGGATCTCAATAACCGCACTGACGTTAAAACCGTAAACCTTTAACAAATAAGTAAAAACGATAACATTCAATTTGAAATAGAGCGCTCTGTTTCCCTAACAAAAGCACTGAACGTCAAATTCTGTGAAGCATATTCTGGTTAAGCTAAACAAGCTCGGACTATCTGTACGCTAATAAAAGTTTGAGACTGACTTTTTGTCAATTTTTTTTTTGACAGTTTGTCGTCCCTTATCAAAAAAAACTACAAAAGTAATACTAGTTACATACAGGAGTAGTGTACCGGTGAACATGTGTCATAAGGTCATATCAGTAGTCTAATAAATGTTTTGCACAAACCGGATCTGATCGAGATAAGCCTAGTAACGTTCCATCGTTAGGTCGTTTTGCGGTGGGGCCCAGTACGACATGACTTAGTTGCGGTCCCGGCTTGTATGCTAAGAAGTCCATTTTCCGTTTATGGTGCCTGAAAGTTAATGATTACCAATTGTATCAATGTCTGCAAAAGGTAAAATACTGTTTCTACCTCGAGTTCATTAAAAGTTATAACCCGTTTGTCACAAACGAAACGTATGCAATAATCAGAAACTTATTACAAATATTCATATTTTGAACGTTCTATATGCGAAGAACACCAAGCAGATGTATTGTTCATGGCAACGACTTAACAGCAACAAAGTTAGTTTCGAAGAAAAGTAGCGTTTAGTTATCTAGTTTCTTTCAAACGAAGTTATTGGGCAGCTAGTAGAAGCAAGAAGAGCTGTGTATACTTAAAGAACAGCTTACATGTAACGAAAAAACAAATGTGAAATTATAAATAATAAATGCGAAAGAAGAGCAACATTGTAGTTTCAAATCAGACGCTGCCTGATAATAATAATAATAATAATAATAAAGAACGAATGAAAAAAGCCACCACAAAGAAGATTCATATAAGGATTCTGACAGCCTATCTGTAGACGGAAATGAAGTTTTGCTAGGTTCTCTTTTTTGTTCATTGGGGTTTGCCGTTCGGATGCTGCGATGTTGCCTTGTTTTTTCTTAATAGTATTATGTCGCACTCCACCAATTATTTTTTCGCTTTTTGCCCCGTGAGAGCGTAGTAAGCAATGTGTTTGCCTGCCAAATTTTTTTAATTTAAATTCCGTCTCCAATCCATTTTTCCGATACGTTTTATGGTGGGAATTATCCGCCTGGCTCGAATACGGAGCGCGCAACGCGAAAAAATATCATAAAGATATTGATGTTACAACACTAACAGACTCCAGCCACTTCAATCACTCGATAATTCGTAAATGTCGCATTGTGAGGGCTTCTGTTTAATCTTATAATTAACCGAAGAACTTGACGTAAGATATGACTAAGATACGTGAATGGCCTGTGTGTGTAGTGTAGGATGGATTGGTAGCTCTCAATATTGACCGTTAAATGCTCTATTACATACCTGCAGGTGAAGAAGATGGTAACACAAACAATGCTGAATAGCAAAGCCGAGCCGACCGTAACTAGCGGAAGATTTGGAGTTCGTCCTTGTCCCGCTGTTAGAAGGATGGTTGTTAGGCCTGAACTGAGATCCGGGGTTGTTTCGCATTCGCCATTTAAGACAACGGTACAGTCAAATCTTCCTGGTGGAGGGGGTGGCGGAGGATGTGGCGGCGCGGACAATGGAGACGCTCGGGGGTAAAAAAGGACCAAATCGGCCAACATGTCGCTGTCGTCCTCAAGAAACGTCCACGGGAACATCATGGAAAAATTTCGTTTCACAAATTTACCTAAAATGATAAAGTATTTATATATATTATTAGTAAATCCCCAATCAGTCAAATGTATACTTATCATATA